AGGTGAGAAAGGGACAGTCAGCGGCTCCTGGCTGGTGACATATAAACGGAGGTAAGCGCTGTGCCATAAGCTTCATAAAAGAATCGCACTCAATGATGGTGATTTTTCTTTCTCACCTCCCAATACCTAACTGATTTCTGTTGATTTCGCTCATAAACGCTACGAAAGAGTATGATTGCTCTGGGATTGTTTGCTAGTCACCCATTTATTGTTTCATTCCTTGTTTTCGCCAAAATTATTCGATACAGCCGTAAGGAATTCATCGTTATTTGCAGGTAGACCGTGTTATGGTGAGAGGTACGAGGCGACTCCTCTCAGCAGCTACTGCTTCGTAAGGAGAGGCGGATTTTTCCAGAAGTGGACGAAAAAACTGTGCGTTCTATTTCACTGCAGACTGCTGATATTTGGTGGTATATTCGAAAGTTCTTGAAATTTTTACATTTATATTTATGTTGATGAACATACGTGATTTCAGAGGAAAACCGTGAATCAGAGCCGGAAACCGTGCTACTGCAAGGACGTCGACTGCAAGTGGCTTTCACGCATAGTAGAGGCCGCGTGCTCAAGTTGGTACTCAAGCCTGATCGACAGTCCCTTTATCTATCCTTTGATACTCTGGTATTTACTCTGATATTTTTTTATAAATTAGGGTATTTCGAAGATGTGACAAGAGCAGAGATGTTATTTCAAGGTCCTAACTTTAAGAGCAATCAGAATTTCGGAACCCATAATTGGGAGGAGGTAAAAGTTAAGCCTAGTATCAACTTTTTTCAATTTCTGCCTAGTTCCTATTGAAAATTAGGAAAGGAGGAAGTTATACGTGGCGTGAGGGTCCATCTGCCCTGATGAGAGGAGATATCATTGGTGTACAAGAAAGTCAGTCTCTAACGAAGATCCTTCTATGCCTCCAACGTGCAATTAGAAGATTTCCCATTGATGAGACAATTATTCGAATACAATATCGGCCTGAAGTTCAGCATCACTAATGCAAGCATCATGGTCGATACCCGCTTTTCTGCCTCAATTTCATGCAGAA